GCTCCAATCTGACCTAGCTGGCGAGCGATCCCAGTTCGCGACAGAGAACAAGACAGCAAGCGAGCGTACCTTTGTTCGCTTCTTCTCCACCAAGCACGGAAGTTTAAGGATAACTGTAGGTCGGTGGCTACCTAAGGAAACTCCGATTCGATCCGTCCCCCGGCTGGGAGGCATCTACCTCATCCCGATCACAAGGAGAGGTTCACTATGATGGGGGGTACTTTTCTTTTTCCCTTCCGGAAAAAATGAAATGAATAGGGGACCATCCTTTTGTTGCGGCATGCTCCTCAGATTTACGGATTCGCAGGGGGCCTCAGGCCCTACTTAGTTGACTGACAATGAAAAAGGCTCGCGAAACTAAGTAGGGCCCTTTCCTTTTTGTTTGAATAACCCATTCTCATTATCTTTCATAAGTAAAGTAGGCAAACCTATAGGTCCTTAGTAGCGTTGAGAAAGAAGAAAGAGCCGGTTAAAAGAAAGCGAATCTTTTTACCTTTTTTCTCTTCTTTCTATTTTTTTATATAATCTAAATAAATAGATTCTTAATTATATTATAGGCTAGCTTGACAAGCAACCCTTCCTCTTGATCTGAGGTGCGAAGAGAAAGATCTTTTTTTTTATGACTTCCACTTATCGATCCGGCCCCAGAAAAGTGACCGGCCAGGGCCCTATTGATAAATGAAAGAAAGGGTTTATGAGCCCTAGCCCTGTAAGCCCACACCTGTGTAGAGTAGATCGTTCAACACCTGCGGCACAAACCCATTTTTGACCTATTGGTCCTAGTATCATAGGCGACCGAACGGCCGCCCCCTAATTACTAGACCAACCTGCTATAATAATTCCATAAACACCTAGCGAAGATATGGCAAACAAATAAAGTAGCCCTATGTTCGGATCTGACAATACCATACCATAATCAAAAGGTACAACGGCCCGAGCGACCAGACTTAACATAAATGTAGCCACTGGAGCCATTCTAAAAAGGGAGAAATTAGCACTACTTGGTGAAATAGGTTCTTTTAGAATCAATTTAAAACCATCTGCTAGAGGTTGTAACAATCCAAACGATCCCACTACATCAGGACCCTTTCGACGTTGCACAAAAGCCATTACTTTACGTTCAGCTAGCACTAAAAAGGCTACTCCTAGTAGAAGTGGTAGAATTATTCCAAGTATTTCAGCTGGAACAGCTATGTACATTTTTGATTTTCTATTCGCTCATGATCTGGTCTGGTCGACCCAATCATGATATTGAAGGATGGGACCTTTTCTCGAAAGACTCCGGATCCCGATAAGAATTGAAGATGGTGCAACATCGAATCCTGTTACGTTACTTCGAATGGAATCTTAGCCCGCCTCACTTGCTTTCTTTACTGCATAAGGGCATAAACGAAGTGAAGGGATTTCTGTCTAACTAGTGTCTGAGAGTAAGCAAGCTACCTTCATCTTCATTTAACAGATTTGTGGTAGAGTCAATAACATGCTCTGGGTCGGGAATCTTTGCTCTTCTCTTTTGCATTTCCGCTGCCTGCGTTCTTTTTCGTGTCCGTCCGTATCGCAAAGCTGGTCGACGCCAGCTGTAATGGTTGAAAATAGGGGGCCCAACCAAGACCCCCTAATAAAGCTTTTTTCGGTAAAGCAAACGATTCGTTCCGACAACTTCGGTCAGATTCACCCTTTTAATTAGCCGATCTTACAAGATCGATCGGGCGGGCTGGTTGGGAAGGGGTGATTAGCGGAGAAAAGAATTGCTGAGAGATCTATTCTACTATTTGGCCAGGACGAATGAGTGGCTGTGAAGCATGCTCCGGAGGAGATTGACCCTTCCCCGAGTCAGTCCAGTCAGAAAGGGGAGGGTCCGCTGTCTAGACTGCATTTCGGGAGTTTTAACACCATCCCATTTCAACCAAAAAGACAACCCTTTCAAAGATATCTAACTTTCCTTCCTTATGAGTGGAAATCCAATCCCGTTTTGTCTTTTTTTTGCATAAATAAAAAGCAGCCGGCCGGTGTTATTTATATATCTATTTTAAATCCAGTGCATTTATTCCGACCTTTTTTGAAAAGCGCATAGTTTCTCCTCAAAAAAAGACCTCCCCAGTCGGGGAACGCATAAGATATTTACCTAAACCAGTAGAGTAGGTCCTTGAGCGGATCCCACGTTAGCCCCAAGACGTTGGTCTCTAACTAGAAAAGTAAATGCTTGAGCTTGAGTGAGAAGGGCCTCCTCGCTTATTGACTTGAACCACTGACCTTTAGAACGAACCTATAGGGCAAAAGGAACTTCACTAAGGGCACCTGACAAAAAGAAAACAGCTTATCTCAACTACTTGACTTGAGTCCAAGTACTGAAAGACGTAACTTCAGGAGTTTCCCTGAAAGAATAGTAAGGCGCCGAAAGCAGAGAGAGAGGGAGCTCTTACTACAGATCTCCTCTTCCTTATGGCAGGAGGTTTCAAACTTCTTCTCTTATATTCAAATAAAGTTCATCCCTCCGTTC